GATGGCTCAGCAGTTAAAAGCACTAGCTGTTCTTGCAGAGGACCTGGGTTTAGTTCCCAACGTTCACATGATGGCTAACACCTATCCTTAACTCCAGTTCCAGGGAATCCAATGGCCTCTGCAAGCACTGCATGACACAGGTATACTTACACATATGCAGCCAAAACACTCATATATACAAAGTAAAAATAAAAAATGTTTAAGATCAGGCAACTTAAACTGTAAAATTCTTAGCAGTGTCTAGCACTCAGATGAATGTTCAGTAAATGTTAACTCTTATCATCACCACTACTGTCTCAAGTCAAAAGAATGCAGTCAACTATGTAAAGTCATAAGAAATGCTCACAAATACATATAGTATCCCCTACATGATTTAAAATACGCATTTAAATGTGCCACATGGAAAGATTAGTACACCCCAACGTGTACACTAGTTAGTACTAGATATCTAAGTGATATTTCAGCCTATTATTTAATTTCTTTTTCCTTACCAGTAGTTTCCCTTATACAGATATATCTGTATGCATGGATGGATGGATATATACATTGTATATACAGACAAAAGTATACACATCACACACGCGTATATATGCGTGCATTACTTTTAGTACTGTTTTTGAGAGAGAGAGAGAGAGAGAGAGAGAGAGAGAGAGAGAGAGAGCAGTTTGGTGCCATTTTCAAAAACTACGAGTCATAAAATAATCCCAGACATTACTCACCTTCCCCTTGTGCTGAATTTGGTGAAGCCTAAGATTGGGCTCAGGAATGGCTACGGAGTCCCCAATGAGCACTCCCCAGCTCTGCACCATATTATATACCATCACCGCATAGCAAGGACCATCTGAATCTACCAGGCCAAATGTACTTCCAGGGTAAGGTGGGTTTGAAAGGGAGAGAGAGAGAAAGAAAGGTTTGTGGGTAGGAAAGAACAGAAACAACAGTTTTAAAATACTAGCAAAATAAACAAATGCATTCTTAGTCACTTATTTAGAAAATCTATGACAAGTATTGTTGTCTGCTATGTCTATCTGAACCCTGGTTTGTTTTAGGTTTTATATCTTTAGAAAGCATGTACAAGACTCAATAATTATAGCACTCTGCTAAAACCTCAGGACACATACACACTGAGGCCATCCAACAAATGTTCATTATGAAGTAACCCAAACTACTGCAGCTGGACCAGTATTCCTGACCTACCAGTTTAACTATCACATCCTTAACCAAACCCTTTACAGATCACTGTAAATTTAGCTTGGTTACAAAAGTTTTCATCACTAATAGTAATCCAGCTAATGATCATTATTAGTAATCCAGCTAATGATCCATGGTCTAGCAGAAGTCAAATTAAAAACTCACCACTTGGGCTGGGGTACAGGTCAGGGAGAGGATGCTTGACTGTTGTGGGACAAGACTCAGGAGGCATAAGGAAGAGGATCACAAGTCCAAGACCCGCTTGAGCTACATAATGAGCTTAAGAACAACCTGGGCTACATAGCAAAACCCTATTTCCAAAAGCAAAAGTGGGGAAAAGGAAAGTTAGCTAGTTAAGCCGGGACTGGTGGCGCATGCCTTTAATCCCAGCACTCGGGAGGCAGAGGCAGGCGGATCTCTGTGAGTTCAAAGTCAGCCTGGTCTACATAGTGAGTTCCAGGCCAGCTAATGGGTACCAGGAAACCCTGCTTCAAAAAGACAAGAAAGAAGAAAGGAAGGAAGGAAGGAAGGAAGGAAGGAAGGAAGGAAGGAAAAGGAAAAGGAAAAGAAAAAGAAAAAGAAAAAGAAAGAAAAGATATTTACCTAGTTAAACAGGAAAACTAAGCTGGGTGTGGTGGCACATATAATTCTAGCACTTGTGAGGTAGAGGCAGGAAGATCAGCAGTTCAAGGACAGCCTGGGTTATGTGAGGCCTTGTCTAAAAAAAGGGAGGAAGTGCTAGGGGAATGGTTCCGGAGGGTAAGACACCTGTTGTGCAAGAAGTATGAGGACTGATTTTGGACCCCCAGAATCCACACAAGGGGCAGGTGTGTGTGGTGGCCCACCTGTAATTCCAGCCTTGAAAGGCTGGACATGGGATCCCAGGAGTCAGTTACCAGCTAGACCAGCTCAAACATCAAGCTCTGGGTTCAATTGAGAAACCCTGCCTCAATGAATAAGGTGGAGAGCAACTGAGGAAGACCCTGGACATCAGCCTCAGGAGCGCACACGCGCACACATGCACACACACCCCACACACACACATACATCCACGTGCATGTGAAGACCCATGCAAAAAAGAGGGGGGAGGCCCTGGGGCAAGGGTTCACTTGGTGGTGCTTGCCATGCAAGCATGAAGACCTGAATCCCACTCTCCAGGACCCACCTAAAAAAGCTGGGTTTGGTGGTGCGTGCCTGTGATCCTAACACAGGAGAGTGAGAGACAGATGATCACAAGGGCTTGCTGGGCGGAGTCTTGCCCAGTGCATGAGCTCTAGATTCAGTGGGAAACCCTATCTTATAAAAGGTGAGGGGGCTGGACAGAATGGAAGGCAATTACACACATACACATAAAATAAAAATAATAAAATATTTTTAAAAATAAATAAATAAGGTGAAGGTCCGGTAAGATGGCTCTGCAGGTAAAGGCGCTTACTGCCAATCCTGACAGACAACTTGAGTTCGATCCTTAGAAGTCACAGGGTGAAAACAGAAAACTGACTCCACAAAGTTGTCCTCCGACCTCCATATGTGCGCCATGGCACATGTACACATGTGCCCACAACAACAATTTTTTTTTAATTTAGAAGAGAAGAAAGTCAGAGTGTTACAGAGTCATGCTGTAGAAGCCTAGAAAGACTCCGGTGGCCCACTTCACACACTGGCACAAGCCTGCAACCCTAGCACTTGGGAAACAAAGGCAGGACGATCCCAGCAAGTTTGAGACCAACCTAGTCCACATAACAAGACACTGTCCCAAACAAACAAACAAACAAACAAACAAGCCACTTCAACGGAAACAGAAAGAAGAAACTTAACCAGGGATCAGGGAGTGAAGAACTAAGAAGTGACGGTGCTCATTAAATCCTGAGTTTGCAAGATTTAACTTTTGCGGGCTGGGGAGACGGCTCAGTGGGTAAAGGCGCTTGCTGCCAAGCCTGACAACCTGAGTTCAATCCCCAGGACCCACATGATGGAAGGAGAAAAGTGACTCCTGAAAGTTGTCCTCTTACTCCACACGTGCTGTGGCATGTGCACAGACGCACACTCACGCACACACACATGCATATACACACACACACACACAAAATAAATGAACAAAAATGTTATATAAAAGTGCTGAAGTCGAGGCTGGAGAGATGGCTCAGCGGTTAAGTGCACTGACTGCTCTTTGTAGAGTACCCGAGTTCAATTCCCAGCACCCACATGGCGGCTAACCACCATCCACAACTCCAGTTTCATGGGCTCTGACGCTTTCTTCTGACCTCCGCAGGCACTGCATGACACAGGTGCATTTATATACATGCAGGCAATATACTCACATAAAAAAAAATGCTGAAGTCTGACTCCTCTGTGGACCATAAGCAGTGTTCACCCTCACACGTACACCAAAATCAAGTAAGGAAGTAGCAAAACAACTCCTCTGCTCAAAAGTTCTGACTGAGAAAACAATTTTGGGACTACAAATGTAAAAATACAGTAACTTGTGTTGTTTTTAGGCACATACAGGAAAATAAGTAATAATATGTTAAAAAACAAGTCGTTTGCTGGGCATGGTGGTGCGTGCCTTTAATCCCAGTACTTGGGGGGCAGAGACAGGTGGAATTCTGTGAGTTCGAGGCCAACTGCGGCTACAGGGAGACCCTGTCTCAAAAGACAAAAAAAAAAAGTTGTTCCTATCAAAGAAGTCTGTGAGGAAAAGCAAGACATGCCGAAGCAGGCCTTAAACTCTAACAAGTACAAGGTAACTGTTGATTAAAATTATGACATAAAAACAATTACATTAAATTTGGATAAGCATTATTACCTGTTAAAAGCTTCCAGCATAGGGTCTGCACCAACTTTAATAAAAGGGAAGATGAGCACATTTGAAAGAAGTTAAAAATATGGAAAGTTTGTGGGTTCCAAGGATTATATAAAGATACCTTTGGTACAGGTAGAAAGGCATTTTCAGCCTACCCAAGCTTTGGGGAAGATCCTTACCCTCTCTGAGCCTGAGCTTTCCCTCCTTTAGCAGGGGGCTGGAGAGGTTGCTCAGTGGTTAAGCGCACTGACTGCTCTTGCAGAAGACCCAGGTTTGATTCCCAGCACCCACATGGTGACTACTAACTGTCCATAGCTCCAGTTCCAGGGGAATCCAGTTCCCTTTTCTAACCTCCATGGCATTGGACTACACAGGTACAACTCAGATATATGCAGGCAATACACTCATACACATAAAATAATAAATAAAATATTTTTTTTTTAAATGACACGTTAGCCAGACGTGGTGGTGCATGCCTTTAGTCCCAGCACTCAGGAGACAGAGGCAGGCAGATATCTGTGAGTTCAAGGCCAGCCTGGTCTCCATGGTGAATCTAGTCCAGCTCTCGAAAAGACCAAAAAAAAAAATGACATGTCAAATTTCTGCTATGAATCCACAAAGCACCAAACTTAGAAGGGGAAATGGGCAGTGAGAGAAGTAATCTACAAACGACTCTATTATGAGACTGTTAGAGCCAGCAAGATGGCCAGTGGGTAAAGGCACTTAGGGCCAAGCCCAATGACCTGAGTTTGATCCTGGGACCCATATGCTGGAAACAGAGAACCTATGCTCACCAAGTTGTTCTCTGAGTGTCACACTGTGGAGGGAGTGTGACTCAAACTCTAGGGGCACTTAATTTAAAATAAATAAATAAATAAATAAGACCAAGCAAGATGGCCAGTGGGTAAAGGCACTTAGGGCCAAGCCCAATGACCTGAGTTTGATCCTGGGACCCATATGCTGGAAACAGGGAACCTATGCTCACCAAGTTGTTCTCTGAGTGTCACACTGTGGAGGGAGTGTGCTCACCCACACATGCAACATAAATAAATATAACAGAACTGTGCTATTTAAAATAAATAAATAAGACTCAAACTCTAGGGGCACTTAATTTAAAATAAATAAATAAATAAGACCGATCAGTGCAAAGTCCTCAACTGTCAAGAAAAGGCCAGGAAGTCAAAAGTAATTAGTTCACATGGCTGGGAACAAGTGAAACTCACAAGGGGACTTTCTCCTCTGTGGTTAGGCTGAACACCACCTTCCCCAGGACCACAGTACCACTGTTCACACCAGGCTGCAGCGTACTCAGTGGTTTGAGCTCCAGGTTCACCTTCTGCCCAGAGGCTGACTGATACCGCCCATCGCCACAAGGGCCTAAATGCACTGGGCGCAAGCTTCCCAGCATGCTCTGAAGCTTTTTGGCCTTCATCTTCCCCTGAAAAAAAGACCAGGAAATAGATCGGCTGGAAACTAAAAGAGCATTTAGTCTTTCCAGTCCACCTGCCCCCTGCCACCTACACCTTTTCCTTTCTTACTATTTTACTAAGGGACAGCAGGATAAGAAGCAGGCCACATCTTTACCTTGCTCTCCAAGAGACTGGTTAACCTATTAAGGAATTCCACGAGCTGTTGCTCACGTTGTCGGGGCTCTGGCCAGGCAGGGTCCAGTGCTGCAGCCTGAGAGAAGCCCTCTAGAGCCTCCCCAAAATTCTCTTCATATTTATGTAACTGTGGAAAAGAAACCCAGAACCTCTCAATTAGAAGCACAGCCAAACTCCACAGAAGAAATGCCACAATGGACTGAGAACCTAGAGAAAACTGCCTTCCTTCCCAGGTATGCTCCTGTCCTATAATGAAGAGCCTTCTTCCTGGCCAAGGTGCCGACCATGCAGAACTCTGAACCAGCTGAGCTGCACACACTGGATAACTCTGCTTTTACATCTGCAGTTAATACTTCACAAGTCCTCCCAACCACATCCCCATTCTCTGTGTACACCTCTTCAGTCCCTCCGTTCCTTCTAGGGACTCTTCCAGACACCAAACCATGCTAGCTCCTTCTAAAAACAACTAGGCTTTCCTTTCACAGTTTTCATCCAACTCTGTCCCTATACATACTGAGCTATCCTCAGAAGCTAAGACTTAAGGATCTTCTTGGTTTTACCTTCCGATGATTACCACCCATGGATCTTACCGTTGCCCTGTTCAGATGGAGGTCAGGATTGCTGGAAGCTTTCCTGTCAACCTTCTCCTACAATGGGATTAAAAAGATAATAGATTCTGACTCAATGTTAAGGTTAGCCAAGCCCAATATATTCTAGATTTCATTTCCCTAGAAATTCTTCCTTATCAAAATGTTATCTGTGTCCACAGTGCTGTTTAGCAACTTGAATGGTGTCTCACTATCTCTGAAAACTTGGGGACATAAAACTGTACACATGTGTGAAACTTTATAATACAGTTATAGGAACTGTGGTGCAATGGAATGAAAGAGAAATGTCCCCTCCCAGGTTCATGTATTTAAACACTTGGTCCCCTGTTGGTACCACTGTCTAGGGAGGTTACAGAAACTTCAGGAAAGAACCCGAGTTTGGTTCTCAGCACCCACCTCAGAAGATTCATGACCACCTGTAATTCCAGCTCCAGAGGAACTTATGCCCTCTTCTGGCTGCTATGAGCACCTGCACTAATGTGCACATAGCCATACACAGACACACATATACATAATTTTTTTTAATAAATAATTTTTTAAGTGCTCAGAAGGCCAGCATGAGCCTTCTAATAATGAATACTCAGGCACTCAAAGCATTAAGGAACCCAGGCCCCCATCCAAGCAGTTGTCAATATCCAAAGGGCCTAGAACATGACATAAAGCATGAGTTCCACTGAACTAATTCCTAGGAAACAAAACTGAATAGAACATGTGTATTAAGTTACATTTCTGTTGCTGTGATAGAAACACTGACCAAAGCAACTTTAAGAAAGAGTTTTATTTGAGCTTATGGTTCCAGGGGCATTACACTCTATCATGGCAGGGAGGCATGGTGGCAAGAGGTGGTTGGGACAGGAAGCAAGAGAGGAACTCAAGGTCCAACAAAGCTTAAGAACTCTCTAAACACACCCCCAGTGACATGCTTCCTCCAGCATGGCCATACCTTCTAAGACCTCCCAAAACAGCACCACCAACTGCGGACAAACTGTCCAAATACTTGGGAGCCCATGGGGGACATCCTCATTTAAATCCTCACAATGCATAACTGTGGGAAATCCACAACCACATCATCTAAAGTTAACTTAGGGGTACTACTTAATTATTAGTTTTTGTTTTCTTTAAAGTTATGTAAGCATTATTTTACTAGATTTTCCCTCACTAAAAATGATGAACACAGGCTTTAATCCCAGCACTTGAGAGGCAGAGGCAGGCAGATCTTTGTGAGTTCTAGGCCAGCCTGGACAGCTGGGGCTACAGGGAGACCCTGTCTCAAAAAGAGAAAAATAAAAAATAAAAAGATGAACACATTGAAATAAGTTCTATGGTTTCATTGTACAAGCCTGTAAGAAATTTGAGACAAATCAAGGAGCTGCCTGCCCCCAAGGCATCACTCCTAATACGTTCCAAAATCAGTCATCTCTGTAGACACACGAGATACCAGCAAACACAGGCAGCACCACCCACTAAAGGGCTACAAGGAAGTAACAATGCTCCTGCCTCTGTTGGTGCCTCCAATCGTCTGCCCAGGGTAACTGCAACTACTTACTGCTTGGGCATAGGCACCAAGGGCTTGTTGGGAGATCTTGGGGTTTTGGCCAGTATTGAAATAAAGAGAAAGATATGCATTCCCCAAAATATCTGAAAGAGAAACAGAAATGGACTATGTCAGAATCCAAGTCCAAGACATGACCTTATTTGCTAACTCTTGAAGTCTGTACTTTTAAAGTTTGTATTAGCATATATTAATTGTACATAAGTTTCATTATGACATTTTTATATATACAATATAATGTATTTTGATTATATTTGCCCCCTCCATTACCTCTCTCTTGCCCCCCTTCCACTGATCCTCTACTTTCTTTTTTTTTGTAACCCAAGGATTTCATTAGTTTCACTGTTTAGAGGAGCATGGTGAGAGGTTATTTACAGGTATTTACAGGAAGCACAGACACCTTACCAGTGGCTGTATCACTGAAGACAATGTCTCTCCCTCCTCCAGCAACCATTAACTACTTATAGAGCCTCAAGGAGTGGTGAGGCCTGTGAGCCCCTTCCATAAAGAAACGCTAGTGAGTCTAATATTCTGCAGGTCTTCTGCAGCCAGGAGTCTATTTCTGAAAGACCCCACCTCTGATCCAAACCAGGTTTACTCTGCATTTGTATACCCCAAATCCCGTTGAGATAGAGAGACCAACATGGACTCCCTAGGAGAAATATATACAGGCTTTTCAAAGCCTTGATTGCTTACAGGGGAAAGTCTCCTCTCAGATCAAGAGATTGGGGCAGGGTGTGGTGATGCAGACCTTTAATCCCACACAGAGAGATCTCTATGAGATCACGGCCAGCCTGGAAAGGTCTGCATAGAGAGTTCCAGGCCAGCTAGTGAGATCTTTTCTCAAAAACAATGAGAAATCCAAGAGTTTCAAGAATAGTGATTCATCAACGTAAGTGTAGGGGAGCTGAAGAGATGGAGTAGTTAAGAGTGCTTGCTGCAAAAAAGTATAATAAATTAAATTTAAAAACTTGCT